TATTCTTATTTATATTATTTATAACCCAGGTGATCTTTGACAAGATATTTTAGGGATTTCCCCCCCTCAAATATTCACATTTTGTCTCTCCTGGTTGAGGTGGAGATTGGGATGTCCCGTTTTTATCACAGAATCCTGGAATGCTTTGGGTGGGCAGGGACATTCCCACAATCCCAGGGTGCTCCACGCTGGCCTTGGACACTTCCAGGGATCCAGGGGAGTGGCTCAGTGACATCAGCCCTGCCACGACAACCCTTCCATCCTTTATCCAACATTTTCCTCACCAGATTTAACTTTCACTGCCCCCATCAACACTGAGATTAAATTCTTTACTGGGAACCATCCCCTAGCAGGAATTAATTCTCCTGATTTTTGGGTTCACAGAATATTTCCTGATTTATAATTAATTTGTTGTCCCCTCAGTATAAAAAGGGGGTGGCTGCTGGACTGTGGAGATTGGGCTGGGATCTTGGGAAGGAATTCCTGCCTGGGCTGCAATTCCCAGATTTGCTGGGGCTGCCCCTGGATCCCTGGCAGTGCCCAAGGCCAGGTTGGATCCACCTGGGACAGTTGAGGTGTCCCTGCCCATGGATGGGGTGACTCTGGATTTGGGATTTAAGTTCTCTCCCACCCAAACCATTCCATGATTCCACGATAAAAGCTGGCAAAGGGGCGATTTTGGGGTCTGCAAGGTGTCCTTGCCTGTTTCCAGGTGGAAACTGAGCCTCTCTGGCTCTGGCTGTGCCACTGAAGGCACAGTGGCACCGAGATCACATCACCTTAGGTTGGTTTCTGCCCTGGTGGAGCAGAAAGTTTCCCCATTATCCCTCTGCCCGCCCTCAGCAATCACCAGGAATCCCTCAGTGAGCTCCTGCCTTGGGCTCCCACCTCCACCCACAGCAGGGAAAGCAAAAACCCCAATATTTTTACCCTTGGGATCTTCTCTCTGTTCCTCTTGCCTCAATTCCCACCTGGCATTTCTCACTTGTTCCCACCTGTGAGCTTCTCCAGAGCCCACACTTGGATTTGTTCCTCAGCCTCAGGGTCCTTGAGGAGTCACTGTGTTCCTGTGGATGCAGAACAGGAGCTCCCATCACTTGGCTTTTCTAGGATGGCCTTCCAAGGCTTTATCCAAGGAGATCCCATCATTTGACTTTTCCAAGGTTTTATCCAAAGAGATCCCATCATTTGACTTTTCCAAGGCCTTATCCAAGGAGATCCCATCACTTGACTTTTCCCAGCTTTTATCCAAGGAGATCCCATTACTTGACTTTTCCAAGGTTTTATCCAAGGAGATCCCATCACTTGGCTTCTCTAGGATGGCCTTCCAAGGTTCTATCCAAGGAAGTCCCATCACTTGGCTTTTCCAAGACTTTTTCCAAGATGCTCCCATCACTTGGCTTTTTTAGGACAAGGCCTTATCCAAGGAGATCCCATTACTTGGCTTTTCTAGGATGGCTTTCCAAGGTTTTATCCAAGGAAGTCCCATCACATTTTTCTAGAACAGCCTTCCAAGGCTTTATCCAAGAAGATCCCATCACTTGACTTTTCCAAGGCCTTATCCAAGGATGTCCCATCACTTGGCTTTTCTAGGATTTGTCACCTGGCTTTTCCAAGGCTTTATCCAATGAGGGTGACTTCAAGATCTCCATCCTTCCTTGAGGAACCCTGGGATGCTCCATTTCCCCAGATCTGCCCACGAGCAGATTGTTCCACGTTCCCTTCCCTGGGAGCTGCTCCAGCCTCCATCCCGGAGCTGCCATCAGGAATTCCGTGTCCTCCTGAGGAAATCTTGCCCTCAGGTGATGTTTTTTTGAGGGCTGGGTCCATTTTTTTGCTGCTCAATCCCTGCCAGGCCGTGCCGGGGGCGCAGGCAGAGGGATCCCCCCGTTGGCTGTAATTAATTAATTTACAGTGGATGTCTCTTTTTCTGCCGTGCCTTTGAACTCCTTATTCTTTGTGCATTGTAAAGGGCTTAACGGTTCCTGTTCCTTGATTCTTTCATCAGTGAAATGTTTTGGATGAGAGGTTGGAGTCCCCCTGTGACCTGCCCTGGGTGGCCCAAGCCTGCAGACCTTGCAAAGACATTACTTTTTTGGCCTGAACACAAACCCCTCAAACCTTTAGCCTGGCTAAACGCTTTGTACAAACGGCTGCATACTGATCTGCTCTATTCTGTGGTGATTTTCTGCTCGAGGGGCTGCTCTGTAGGTTTGCTTGCTGTGTTTGCCACTTGCCTTGGTGGTGGAGAGGGGGGGGACAACAAACGAACCCGACAGTCCTGAGGCCAACGCTGCGCTCGGTTGTTCCGAGAAAATTATCCTGAAATCTGCTTGAAGAGATTAAACCCAAGAAGAACTGGCTGTGTCTCTCCTCTAAAGGCTCCTCTCTGGTCTTTGTTTCTCCTTTTTTTGCTGCTAGACTTTGTTCATTCCTCCTTCAGAATGAGCTGGTGGCATTGGTATGTAAAGTGTGACCTGCGATTACAGGAGGTGCGGCTCCTTCTGCAGCAGCCCAGGGGAAACATTGAATTCATTCCTCCAGCCCGGGGCTGCTGCAGCTTTTCCGAGTGTCTGGGCCCAATTCCTGCTCTCCTTTCTTCTGGGATATGAAAAATATCAGCTCCTGCATCATTTCTCCTTGGACATTAAAAAATATCCTGCATTATTTCTTCTGGAGCACAAAGAGTATCAGCTCCTCTGCCTTTTATTCTGGAACACAAAAAAAATCAACTCCTACATTATTTCTCTTTGAACACAAAAAAATATCAGCTCCTACACCATTTCTTCTGGAAAAATATCAGCTCCTATACAATTTCTTCAAGAAAGCAAAAAATATCAGCTCCTACATAATTTCTTCTAGAACACAAAGAATATCAGCTCCTATACCATTTCTCTTTGAACACAAAAAATATCAGCTCCTATACCATTTCTTCTGGAAAAATATCAGCTCCTACATAATTTCTCCTGGAACACAAAGAACATCAGCTCCTTTACCTTTTCTTTCTGGGACACAGAGAATATCAGCTTGGATGCCATTTCCCTTCTTGGATTTCAGTGATAGAATCCCAGAATTGTAGAATTTGGGTTGGAAAGGACATTAAAGACAATCTCGTTCCAGCCATGGGCAGGGACACCCTGTGCTAGAAGGTTCCAGAGCTTTGTTAATTCAGTGCTGATGAATCTTTTGATGAGAATTGCTGTTCAGTTAAGGGTTGGCTCAATGTGTGACCACCCTAAGTTTTGAAGGGCAGTGTCACCCCAAAACTCCTCCAGCCTTCCTCCAGTAGGTTCCTCAGGAGTCACTGATTGGTTTGGGATGGAAAAGACCTTAAAATTCATCCAGTTTGGGATGGAAAGGACCTTAAAATTCATCCAGTTTGGGATGGAAAGGACCTTAAAAGCCATCCAGTCCCAACCCCTCCATGGGCAGGGAGCTGTGGGGAGAGACAAGGGGCAGAGACAGCTAAAGGTGAGCTGCTGAGGAGCAGATGTGGCTTGGGATGAAATCTCTCTTGGGATAAAATCTGTCTTGGGATGAAATCTCTTTGGGATAAAATCTATTTTGGGATAAAATCCCTCTTGAGATGAAATCTCTCTTGGTCTAAAGTCTGTCTTGGGATAAAACCTGTTGTGGGTTGAAATCTCTTTTGGGATAAATTTTTTGTCTTGGGATGAAATCTGTCTTGGGATAAAAGCTGTTTTGGGATGAAATCTGCCTTGGAATGGAGTCTGTCTTGGGTTGCTCACAAGCAGCTGACAGCAGTGATAAATTCACCAGCCTTGTGAGAACATTCACAATCACAGGCATTTTCTCATGAGGATTTGAAGTTCATGCTTTGGGGAGGATCTTAAATTTCCCAACTCTGTGTGTGCTCCCAAATAGATGCTGAACATCTGCGAGGCCCTTGATCCAAAATAGAAACTCGCTTTCCTCGCAGTGCTTCCAGGGTTTTATTTCCAGGATTTCTCCAAATGTAATCAGGAACATGAGGTGACCCCATCCTTGGAGGGTGGGACATCATTCCTCAATCCAGGGACATCTCCTGAGCCACCCAGGGGAGTTTCACCTCTTGAGAAGGTGCTCAAGCACCATTTCTCACTTCTAAACATCTTTGTTTTCTCAGGTATTGTGCTTTTCCCGAGTGGGGTTTTTGTAGGATTGATGTGGCTTTTGGGATAACTGTTCCAGATGGGACAGTGGGGTGTAGAGGGGATGTGTAAAGATGATTTATCCCTTGCAGATCAGAGTCAGAGGCTTTGGGTGGATCCTCCCTCCCTGCTGGCTCGGGCAAGCTGCAGTCAAATTTTATGGCAAACCTACATTTAAAATGCCTTTGCAGTTAGGATTAATTAAACCAGTTTTTGAGGGACACGTGTGAAGTCACTTTGGGCTCTTTGCACCTGGAATTCTGCAGGGTTGGTCAGTGGGATTGGCTGGAGCTGAGCAGCTCCAAGAGCTCAAGGAATCATGGAATGGTTTTGGGTGGGAAGGGACCTTAAAGATCACCCAGTGCCAAGGGCAGGGACACCTCCCACTGCCCCAGGTGGATCCAGCCTGGCCTGGGACACTCCCAGAGATCCAGGGACATCCCAGGCTCTGGGAACCTGTGCCAGGACCTCCCCACCCTCCCAGGGAAGAACTTCCTCCTGTTCATCCCAGTCCAATCCCATCCTGTGCAAAACCCCAAGGGCACGGCCATGGATGGTTCCCACTGACTTTGGTTTTTGTGCTTTTTCCATCCAAAATATGAACAGTCACATCCATAATTTCTCTTTTTATTCTTTTATTACTCCTTTTGACTGGTAACTTCAGATAACAGCAGCGATTTCCCAGCCGTGTTTGCTCCTGTCCTGCAGCAGTTGTCACCTGAGTGATGATGAGCGATGGTTTCAATCTCAAAGCTCTTCTGGCATCTGAGACTATTAAAAATCAGAGTCTGGGAGGGGTCCCCTGTGCCCCTGGAGGTGCCTGTGTCTGGCTTGAAGGATGTTCTCCATCCCAAGGTTTTAATGGAAGGTGGAGCAAGGGAGCTGATTAATAACCCTGCTTTACTTCCCCGAAATGAGGGACGGGGCTGAATCCCGGTGTTCCACTCATTAATCTCTTCCTGTTAGAGCCAAGGGGCTGCTCTGTGATTGGGCTGCTCTGGGAAAGCTTTGGAAATGGGAGTGGGATGATTTATGTTCCCGATTTTGTGGCGTTGGCTTGGAAATGGGAAAACTTTTGGGAGGGCGAGCGTTGAAGGCCAAGACCACCTGACACGGAATGGCTTTGTGCACTGGTACCTGTGATTAGTCATGGGGACAAAAGGCAAAATCCTCCTTCCACATTGCCCAGCCATCCCTAATCCTCATCTCTGTGAGGCTTTAGGAGCTGTTGGAAGGTTCCTGTAGGATAAAAACCGGGATAAATTAGCAATAGTGGGCCGTTAACTGAAAAATCTGTACTTGGTGTGAATTTTCCCTCCTTTCTCCCTTTTTGCCATCGCACCTGGCTTCATCCCAAAGAAACATTTCATTCCTCCAGTGCCTGCAGGAGCCACACAGCTCAACCCCAGGCAGATGCTCCCCCTCCAGCCTTTGGTGGCTTTGAGCTGTGGCCTCACAAACCAGGTCCCCTCAGTGCCGAGAGGAGAGGGGAGATGAAGCTGTAACTGCTGAGGGTGAAAATGAAGTGAAGTTGGGCAGAACCAACCTCAAAAAAAAAAAACCAAAAAAAAAACCAGACGGCCTCGGATGCGTGCAGGAGCATTCCCAAGGAAAAGCTGCTAAAAGCCATGGAGGAACCAAGGTCCTCTAACATGGATCCATTCAAGCCCCCTCAGAGGGCTTAGGTTTGGTTTAAAGAATGGATTAGGAGAAAAATGAACGACCAAAGTATGGAATTTTTGGCCAGCTTAGCCTGGAAAGGAGATAAATGTGGCCTTGGAAATATTGTCTTCGCTTCAGGAGCCGAGGTTATTCAGTTGTCAGATGTCTTCATCCACCAGAAATAAAAATGCCACCCAACGGCCGCGGTCCTCCCCGTTTTGGGCTGACCAAGAGGCGCCATCACCAGATCATGCAAATAATCTGCTGCCTGATAATTAATGACACGGCCAGGCATATTTTTTTGATGAATGCTCGTGGAGCCTGGTGACAGGCGTGAAATTAGAAAATTCCTTCAGCGCCCTAAAATATAAATAGCTTTCGGAACTGAAAAGGGTTTCACAGCTGAAGATTTTATTGTGTTGAGAGGAAAAACTTTTCCAACCCCCATCCCCCCCTTTCTTCTGGGCGACTTGTTTGTCCGTTCACAAAACAAATACTCTGAAGCCCAGTGCGGCTCATGGGAATAAATTTCAGGTCGAATTAGTACAGTTTCCTTGCTGTCAGGACGGTGGAATTAATGGTGTTTTGATGACACGAATTTTGAAGGGCGAACAAAGACGCTGAAGGGAGGGAGACATGACTCCTTAGAAGCGCGGTCCTCCTCTCCCCCAGCCTCTCTTGTCTTCCCTGTCATCCGTCTGCCAATCTCCCTGTCCATGGTTAGTTAAAGGCGCTTTTTATCCTCTTTTCTTTCCCACAGAGTTTGCCAGATCCGGCCCAGTGCCTGGGTTCCAAGGGGACACGCTGCAGTTGGCCTTCATCGACTTGAGACAAGTAAGTCTTTGTGTTTTTGTTTTTTGTTTTGCTTTTAAGATGTGTGACTGAAGACCATCAGGTCTTAAGGGAAGGGAGAGGAGGGGAAACGGCGTCAGTGATTTACGCCAGAGACCTATATTTCCCCCCTCCTCCTCCTCCTCCTCCTCCTCCTCCTCCTCCTCCTCTCGAAGCCACCTCCTTAGGCGAGCTCTCCTGGAGATGGTGGTGGAGGTGAAAAGGGCTGGTGGAAAGGGGGCGAGGAAGAAAGCCAGGCCTGACCCTGGCCAGCGGGGCCATTGTGCCGCCGTTGGCCGGAGGGACCGCGGCGACTCCGCGGCCCAAGCCGAGCAGGTGCTGGGAACAGAGAGGGAGCAGTGATGCAGAGCCCGCCCGCCTCGGGGACCTTTGTTCCCAGAGAATGCCCACGGAGGAATTTGCATTCCCCTGTGTCCGTGTCCCCTCTCTGTGTCCCCTCTCCGGGCTCGGCCGTGCCCCCCCCCGCCCCGGTCCCCTCTTCCGCAGGGAATGACAAAGTGGCTCTTGGGGAAGATGGTTGGGCAAGGCTCCACCCATCGGTGGCCACCTCTGGAGGGGGCCCCGTTGCAGCCAAGTTGACCATAGCAGGTACTGAGGCCTTTGTGGGGCTTGGCAGCCAATTTTGGGAAAAGGGCCATTCTGGGGAGTCATTTGTTCGGGGAGAAATGGGCATTATTGATACACTAGGCCGGGGGAGAAGTGAGGTGGTCCTGTCATCTCTTGGCACTGAAGATGGATGGGTTGGAGAGAAAGTCTGAATGAAGTAAGACTCAATGACTGATGCTTCTCTCCTATTAAAACAATCTTTTTTTGTCCGTTAAACCCCCCTGGCTTTGTCCCTGCTGCCATCATGATGCAGTGCCTCTTGTTCGCGGGGTTGACGTCGTTTGCATTCTGAAAACTTTCGGGTGCCGAGGCTATTTCTTCAATCTGCATAATCCCTTGTATCGATGATCTTGCCCCTGCCTCTGATTCGTGCTGGAGCTGCTTTCAACCCGCCAGGGTTTGAGAACTCCTCAGAATCCAATTGATGTGCAGGGAGCCATCTGTCATCCCACGACACTTGTGTTAACTTTAATAACATCAGGACGCCGCTTCTCGGGCCCGGGCCCGCCAGGAACTGCCAAATTTGTTTGCAAAACGGTCCCAGCAGCTCCATGGGAGAGGTGTGTGTTATCACCAGGCTGTGCTGATGGCTTTTATCTTCATTTGCTGCTTGGCACTTTATTGACTGCGGCGCTCGACGCGCCCGCGGCCTCCTGGCTGGGAGCAAATGTGGAGGCTTTGGGACTTTTCCAAGCTCCAGGCTGTGAATGTGGGGGATTTTGGAAAGGGGAAGATGGGGCTCTTGGAGGAAATGAAATTCCTGAAAATGGCTCGGTGAGGTTGAGCCAGTGAAATGTTTGTGGGGTTCACGAGCACAAAACGCAGCCAGAGGGACCCAGGTGAGGAGGAGGAGGAGGAGCAGGAGGAGCAGGAGCCTCCTCGATCCTTCCTCCATTGCCCAGTGGATGTCTTTGGACACAGAGGTTCTGTCTTTGCTTCAGGAGGTGCTCCCAAGTTTTGTTCTTGCATTTAAAACCAGCAGCACCTCTGAATTTCAGGGCTGGGCTGGACAAGGGTAGGAGCAGCAGAAGGTCCCGTGGCAGGGGTGGCACTGGATGATCTTTGAGATCCCTTCCCTCCCAAACCATCCCAGGACTCTGGGAATGCACCAGGAGAAAGGGGAGATACCCAGGTGAGGCTGGGAAGTCCTGGATGATGGATGATGAGGGGGAAAACAAGACACTGTACAGATAATGGAGAAGAGCTGACCCGGCCCTGACTTTTCCAGCAGCATGGAAACATGAGGCAGTTCCCACTCCTTGGTCCCATCCATGGCCTGATCTGGTGGCTCAGGTGTCACCAGACCCCATCCAGGCAAGGCTCTGGTGGCTCCTCTGTGGCCACCAACCCTCCAGCACTTCCTGTTGGGCTGCAGCTCCAGCGGGGAGCAGGGAGAGGTGGGAGGGTCGTGGGTGAAAGTCTTTGGTTGTTCCTCCACTTGCCTTGAAATCTTTGCCTTTGGACTTGGCTTTCTTTCTCCTTTAAAACTCCTTTAAACTGGAACAGAGCAGATGAAATGGGATATTGGGAAGGAATTCCTCTCTGTGAGGGTGGGGAGGGACTGGAATGGAGCCCAAAACCTCCCAGAGCAGCTGTGGCTGCCCCTGGATCCCTGGAAATGTCCAAGGCCAGGTTGGATATTGGGGCTGGAATGGTGGGAGATGTCCCTGTCCATGGTGGGATGAGATTTAAGGTTCCAACCCAAACCATTCCATGATTCTGTGAAATGTCACCACAATATTGATTTAAATGGAATGACCTGGCTGGGGGGGGAACGAGGGAGGGAAAATGTCTGGGCAAAAATTCACCAAAGTAGAAATTAAATTAAAATGAAAGGAAATTAAAGAGATTTCCTTTCCCAACATACTTCAGTAGGAGCTGTTGCAGAACATTTGTAAATCCGAGAAAATTTTCGGAGTAATGAGGGATGACCAAAATTAATAAAATATGAAGTGATAGGGAAATGTGGTGGCTTGGTTTGTGCCTTGGTACAGATCCTTGTAGTGGGAAATAAACCCTGAAAAGATGTCACTGTTTAAAGGCATCAGAGTTTGTTCAGAGCAGCAGACCCAAGTTTAGTGCATCAAAATCCTGATTTTCCCCTCGTGCCCAAGGAAATGGGGAGCAATTCCACCCCTGTCTGGCAAAGAGGAAGAGTCAAGCCCAGAGAACCAAAATCACTATTTTGAGCAGGCAGAAATGTAAAATGAGGCTTGATTTCCTATTCTGGGAGAATTCTAAATCCATAAATACCCTCAATGAAGTCATAGAGGAAACCAACTCCCATCTCAAGTCCTTCTGTAGGAGTGAGACTCAAATATTTAAGATTTTACAAGGAAGGAATATTTGCTTCCCCCCCTTCCAGTTTAAACGTTGCTCTTGCACACTCAGTGCTGTATTTTAGAAACCTGAAATAAATTTAATCCCATAAATAACCTCGCTGAAATCTGAAATAATCAACTCTCTGGATCTTCACCGAGCACCCCTGAATTTCCAAACACCTCTGGAGATCTCCAGGTGCTCTCAGGTCATTCCCAAGCCTGCATGTTGGAATCATTCCCTGTTTTCCCCGCGGCTGGAAGTGTTTGAATTTTTGGTTTGGGTGGGTTTGTTGTGAGGAAGTTTTGGTGCAAGGGGAGGGTTCAGTGCTGCTCTGAGAGCTCCCTGCACTCCCTGATCTCTCCAAGGAGCCAGATCAGCTCTCCTGGCCTCCTTCCAAGGAAAATCCGTGTCCAGAACTTGAGGAATTTCACTCTGGGCTCCAGGGAGGGAATCAGAGCTCCCAGCTCCCAGCCTCTCCTCCTGCCCAGGGAATTACAAATCCCGAGTGCTGGATTTCCTCTGCAAGCACCAGCCTCGGCTCTGAGGGATGTTTGGAGCGAGGCAGGTGAGAACTCACCTGGATTGAGGCACCTGGATGTCCAAGGGATGAAAACAGGGAGGTTCCATGTGAGAACTCACCTGGATTGAGGCACCTGGATGTCCAGGGGATGAGGACAGGGAGGTTCTACTCACCTGGATTTTCCTTTTTTGGGATCCAGCTGTGTTTTTTGTGGGATCCTGCTGGATCCCCCTGGCCAGCTGGGAATGGGAACATCCCTCTGATGTGTTCCTTTTTCTCTTATTAGCCCTGATAGAGACACTTTGAAATAAAACAATGATTCCCTCGTGAACACAATTCCCTTCCATCCCTGCTCTGTGGTGGAATCCTGGAATGGTTTGGGTTGGAAAGGAATTTAAATCCCATCCCATTCCACCCCTGCCATGGCAGGGACACCTCCCACTGTCCCAGGCTGCTCCAAGCCCCAAAGTTCACCCTTGGACACTTCCAGGGATCCAGGAGCATCCATAACTTCACCCAGGTTTCCTCTCCCTCCTTCACCGTGTGCAGATGTTCCCGTTTCCTTCAGTCCTACACCTTTCTATCTAAAAATAAAAAAAAAAAAATAATAAAAGAGCCTTTTTATCTAAAAACGAGACCCAAACAGAGGAGCAAAGCTGCAGTGTGAGCTCATCCCTGAGCCTCACATTCCAGAATCCTGGATCCCTGCTTTTGAGGAGCCACCTGCTCCCTTGGAGCACTCTGGGAGCTCCAGTTGTGCTGGAATGTTGGGCATCCAGCCTGGCATCTCACCAAACACCAGCTGAGGTGTTTGGATCCCCCTCTGCCTTGGTTGGAGGCTGCTCTGGAGGCTCTGGGAGGGCTGGAATTGTGTCCTCGTGTCAGGCACTGGGAATTGTGTCAGCTCCCGCCGGGAATGGTCGTGGCCAGCGCTCCCAGGGATGCTCAGGGTGGGATTCTTGGGGTGTCCTGGCCAAGGGAAGGGCTTGGACTCAATCTGGGCTCGTCTCTTCCCACTCAGGACGCCCCATGAGGTGTAACCCTGTCTCCTGCTGCTTCCATGTGCTCCAGGGCTTTTTCCTAGGGAAAACCCTTGGAAATTCGGCCTTGGTGTGACACCGGTGCCTCTGGCCACCTCTCAGCTCTGTCACCATCTCCATGGTGGGAAGCTGGAGCCAGTCCCTCCCAGGCAGCATCCAGGATGCCCTGAAGGCTCATTCCCACCAGGCAGCGAGCTCTGGGTTGTTGTTTCTTTTTTTTAAGCTCCTATTTCTATTTTACAGTTGAACGTGGCTTCCCCAGCCCTGTAAAACCAGGAGACATTTGGGGAGCAGAGCACAAACAAGGCTTTGGGTGAGCCCAGGGCCAACCCTGCTCAGCAAACTGGTTTGGCTGATCCTTCCCAGCTGGTTTTGCTGGGAGATTTTCAGCGGGAGGTGAGAACCACGCTGCGAGGGGATGATGGGCTCGCCGAGCTCTCCCGCCCAGGTGTCTCCTCCCGCATGTCCCTGCTTGTGTCTCCGGGGTTTCTGCA